CCCTTTTTGGCATATTTTTGATCCACAGATGCGGAACCGATGGATACGGAGGGCCAACTTTATAAGGCGAACTACATACATAATTTTAAGTTTTCTCGTAGCCATATTAAAAGAACTAAAAGAGAACAGGTGACATTAATGTTAATAATATATTTTATATAACTCAATATATCAAAACTATGATCATTTTAACATGTAATCAATACAAAATATTATTAATGAGATACTTTATATCTTTTAATGCACTGAATCCAGTGTGTTTCCCACTCATGGAAAATCTTAAACCAGATGCTAGAAAACAAAAACGAAGCAAAACAAAACCCCAAAATCCAGACACTAAAGTTTCCTCAGAAACCCTCATCTGTACTCAGATTCCATAAAATTTACATTGAAAAGGAAAATTCATACGTAAGTTGTTTCAAATACAAGGATACTTGAAAGCTTTCCAAAAACTGAATCTAGTATTAGTTTTTAATTTTAAATTGAAATTAATTGAAATGGAAGAAAATGAAACATTCACTTCCTTGATGGCACTTCAAGGCTTGGTAGCCGTGTCCAGCGGCTGCAGTGCTGGACAGAGCCACTAGGACATTTCTGTCATTTCAGAAAATTCCGCTGGTCAGTGCCAGTCTCAAATGCCAGGATTTGAATCACCTGCACTTAGATGGCGCTTATTTGTCCTGGGTGTTTGTCTGGAGGCCTGATACATACCAGTTCCTGGGAGGGAGGTTCGTCTTACAGGTGGGGAGACTGAGGATTGTAGGGTGGGGGGCTTGCCCAAGTGGACTATGGACAGGCGGTTCTAGGGTTTGGGACTATCTGGAATCTCAGTCTTCTTGTTTCTGTGGTTTAGTTCCTTCTGACCCTAAGGTCGTCCCTGGCCTGCACCCCTCCCTGGACCTCCAACTGCCCCTGTACATCCTGAGACGGCCTGCAGAGCTGTCCCACCGACCCCACAGCTGTGCCTGCTGGACAGCATGCTAGAGATGCAGCGGTGGGACCCAGGGTCACAGGGCAGGGGCCCACCACTGCCCTGAGGGTGTGCCTGCCTGAGCGGGCACCAGGTGGACACGGGTTTCAGGGACGGCGGGCATCACATGCAACCTCGCTGTCCCAGAGGACCCCAGCCCAGGATGACATCCCTGGAGGATTGCTGGTGGCTCCCCCGGACAAACATAATGAGGCAACCCATGGGCACAGTGCCCGCTGCCACCAACCACCCCAGGCTGGAGCAGGGCTCAAAGGACTGGCACTAGCTGCCTTCCTGCCGCCAGCTTCCACCATGCCCTGCATGCCAGCGCCTGGATGTACAGTGCATCAGTGGGACCTGCAAAGGATCCATCCAAACTGCCCGTGCCCCTAACACCCCCAGGGCTCCCTGCCTGGACACCAATAAACAAGACTGTTTCCACACTCAGAACTGGACTCTCACTGTTAAGCCCCCCACTGTCCACTGGTCCCTGTTTCACAGATGGTGAAACTGACACCCGGAATGGAAAGGATTTCCCAAAAGCACCCGGCTAGGACTTGAACCCTAAAGAAGGGGTTTGCCTTTCATACATGGAATGGAAGAATGGCAGGCAGAGAAAGAGGAAACAGACGTCCAGGGAACAGGATGCCCCGCAGGGAAGGGGCAGAGGTGAGTCATCTCTGAGCCCTCACAGAGCCCAACCAGCCACTAGTCAAATGTCAAACTCCTACTCATGCTTCAAAACCCTGTGTCCCATGTCCCCTCTTACTCTCACATAGGGGTTATTGTTTTCCCCTCCTGCAGAGCCCCCGCTCTGCCTCCAGATTCCTCCAGCCCCAGACCCCTCCTTCTGTCCCACGAGCAGGGGAGTCTGTGCCTGGCTCTGTCTTCCCAGAGGTGGGCAGGGCCAGGGCTAAGTTCTCTCTGGAGTCAGCATCGCCTATTGCAGGACTGTCCCCGAGGACATGGCGGGGGGCTTTTGGTGAATAAACAGGTGAGTGAATGAATGAATGAATGGGTTACTGAATAAGTCAATTCATTTATCCTGTTGTTCACTTATTTACTGATTTATCTGTACAGGCAGACAACACCTATTGAGCACCAGCTGTGTACCTGGCCTGGTGTGCTTGGCAGCCTCAGCCCTGCCCCCAGGGCGTCTCCTGACCTCAGCCCTCTGTGGTTTCACCGTCTCCCTCACTTCCCGATGCCCCCGCAGCCCTCAGCACCCAACTCAAGGCCCCTCCTCCTCAGATGGTCTGATCTCTACAAGCTCTCAGCCACTGACGGTCCCTCCTTTTCTGTAGTAGTCCGTTTTTGTTGCTTATAACGAAATACATGGAACTGGGTAATTTATGAGAAAATGAAATTTATTGCTTACAGTTTCTGAGGCTGGGAAGTCCAAAGTCTATCTGGTGGTGGCGACAGTGACCCAGGGGTCTCTGAGCAGAGAGAGAGAGAGAGACAGACTCTCTCCTTCTTTTAAAGCCCTCAGAACCATGCCCTGACCACCATTTTTAATCCATTCACTACTGC